GGGCGACCTCGTCTTCATTGAATACCCTAACTTGCATACCACTCCTCTCTCTCAAAAGTTACAACCCAAATTCGCTGGTCCATATCAAATCACCAAAGTTCTCTCGGATCTTAACTGTGAGGTCCGCCACTTAAACTCCAAAGCAGGCACTAAAGTTATGAACATACGAAAATTTAAACGCTACACGCCTCGACCACCCGACCTCGACTTCACTCCCTCCTTCCACCCTTCTCTTTTGGACACCATGTAAAGCCTCCGGCGCGTTTTCAATGAACCATACCTTCCTTACAGATTACCAAAATGAATCTCGCCCTCCTCTTTGCCACTGGATCCATTTTCTTGGCCCACGCCCTTGCTGTCTACATTCCTCCCACCATACGCGTTACCCCTGGTCTGTACTTTCGTCCCGTCCCGGACAACGTTGTCTTCTTCAGCCAAACAACCCCCATCTTCTTTACGGCCAACCTCACCATCCTGCGGACCCACACGTATGACCACTCCATTATGAACAAAAATTGTTCAGGCTTTACCCCCACCCAGGACATGATTCCGCTTTGTTTATTCTCCAACGATATAATTAAAAATCTGAACTTTCTCACGGAACGGAATAACCTTCTCACCCACGCGTTCCTCGACGTCGATTCGCATCAACATACACCAATCCAGCCGACAGATTTTGCTTCCCCAGGCTTCATCACTAAAAATACAGCAGATCAGGTAAATAATCATATCACCCGCCTCCTCGTGGGAGGTGACCTGGACGATCAACCCCGTCCGGCCACCCAGGACACCGTCGTGACCCGCGTCCGCCGCCAAATTGTTATGGCTGCCGCCGCTATCGCTGGCCTTGTTGGATATGTCTCGTCTTCTCTCTTCTCTTCTTCCTCCTCAGATGGACGGCTGATGTATAACAGCCTCCAGTCCAATGCGCATATCGATCATCAAAATATTATCCGGATCACCGACGACGTCCAAGCGCTACGCAACGACACTTTCGATGGCCTTCGCGACTCGGCCATCAAGTTCACCCAGGCAATGAATTACCAGCGGACCAAAATCAACACATTATACGATTCGTTCAAAACCGGCGAAGTCCGGTCGGCCATGATCCAGGCTCAAACCATCCAGGAATTGACGCGACTTGCGGACCTTGTCGCCTACCACGACGTCATCACCGCTTGTCAAAATAAACGCCTCCCCCTATCCCTTATAGATGCCGGACTCCTACGGGATGAACTCGACATCCTTTCTACCCACCTCAACCCTCTCGACCAGGAATTGGTCATCCCTATCAAAACTATCTCACCTTACTACCAACTCCCACTTGTCAATTGCCACCTACTCTCTGACAACGGTACTGCCACCATAATTCTACATGTTCCGATTCAACCACTCAACCGGAAGATCATCCTCCACGAGGTAATCTCCATCCCATTCAAACACCACGACGAGATCTGCCAATATAACATGCCGTCCACCTACGTACTTCTTACAAATAACAAACCTCTCGCTATTGAAAGCACACATGCCCACGCTTGTCAACCGGACAATGGGTACTGCCACTTCCGGGAATACTCTGGAACCTCCAAAATATTATTTTGCCTCACTCGCCTTGTTAGAGGAGCCACAAACGACGTCATCCGTGACTCCTGTCCCTTTTCCTGTCGGCCCTCCATGGGCTCCAGCGATATACACATCACGGAACTCGGGTATCAAAACTTCGCCCTCACCAACCCGCCTCATAATTCCAGCATTGAGTGCACTTTTCCGGATGGGCGCATGACACAAGAATTTGTCAAACCTGAACACACGGTTGGCTCCCAAATCATTCATCTCCCGTGCTCCTGTCGGATCAACATCCCCAGCTTTTCCCCGGTTTTCAACCCTCTCCCGTGCATGAAATCCAACTCACTTCTACCCGAAGTTTCCCTCGTCATTCCTACCTTATGGGCCAACCTCTCATACGACCAGGTCACCAAGATCATCATGGTAAAACCTGCCCTTCTTCCAAAAACATCCTACGAAAACATGTCCTCTATCTTCAAGCTCGAATGGGCCGATGGCAAAATCCAACACCCAGCACAAATCACCGAACTGCCTGATCTTCCAGCCTCTTACCATTTTTTTAATCATCTCAAAGACGAATCGCACGTCTACCAGGACTTCCTCGCCTTCCTATGGCAAGTCGCCATCTCCTTCGCGGTACTTTACCTATGGGCCCGCCATACCCCCTCCGTGCTACCCTGGGTTGCCACCACCGCGGCCTATACCCCTGTCGTCAAGGCTGCCTCGCTATTGGAATCAGCCATTCCCCTCTCCCCACCAGCCGACTGTGGCACAGAACAGAAAATCGCTCATCGCATCTTGATAGCCCTGATAACGACCTCCGTCCTCATCACCTTGGTTTTCGTCATATGTATGTTTGGATGTTTTTACATCTGTAAAAAACAAAAACTTCGCCAAGATTTCACCCGTATGGACAAGGACCGCCAACTTCGCTCGGCCGAACGACACAGACGTCGCGAACGGGAAATCCAGATGCAACCTCTCCAGGACCGGAACTCCGCCGCCAACTTTCCTCCTCCTCCTCCCCCAGTTCCTGGTGCACAGGCTTATTATCCACTTCCCCCACCACCTCCTAATACCCCCCGTTAAAAATTCCGCGCCACTTCCTCCCCTCGGTTAACAACCCCGATCACCCGGATCACCTTGCTGTACACCAATCTCATCCTCGATTTTAAATACATATTCCGAACTTCATATTCGACCATCTTTTCGAGCACAGGGCCCGCACTTAAACGATCAACCACTCCTCATTTTTTTTAAAGTACTACTAACCCAAAAAAATATTACATAAACCATAAAATGCATAAAAAAACACTTTTGTTCAGTTAGTCCATATTACACCTTATGCATTTTTTAATTTTAAATTCCGTAGATATACTCCATGGTGGATCCATGTTTCCCATACGCTAGGGTATCACACCCGATGCATCTTAGGTACATACATACACTTTTAACTCATTTCATATTCCCCCAACCAAAAAATTTGCTCTTGCATCAGAAACTCGCCTCCACTGCACGACAATTTTTGGGGAATCGTACCAGTAAGTATTACATTATAGCGGGAACCTGATGGTCCTCTCGACTCATCACCGCATTTTTTTAGGAGAACCAAAGACGGGTAAAATCGAAGAAAAACAAACAGGAGAATTTATTCTCCTGTGCCCTTTCTTCACATGTATATAGAATAGGTTAGCCATATAGCATAGCCATAGATTTAACAATCCACCACAGAATTCTTTCTGCAGTGTATTATTTGCACATAGATTTTTTTTAGATAATTTAGAGAATTTTGATATCTCACATAGGGAACCCATAGTACATAATACAACTCATCACGCCCTACGCTGTGATAGCTACTTTGTACCTTCTCGGCATTTCATGCACCGTGTACACGGCCCAGAAATACGCTTGGTACAAAGCTGTATATATATCTCTAGCAATAATACTAACCCCCGACACATTTTCGCCTACACCAACTCTCCCCCTCCTCATACGGATTCTTCATCTCCACACGTAAGCCCCGTGCTCGCCCCCGTACATCCATTTTCCCATCCAGAGACATAACCATAACTACGTGCCAACCACCCTTCCCCCGATGAATCTCAAAACCTGTTTTCAACGAGGACAATATTTTATGCCTACGTGCCAACTCACCCATCCCCAACTCTCTTTCAACTACAAATCACCTTCAAAAACCAGTTTACAACGAGGACATTTCCACTCCCCCAATCAAACCATCCTACAAGATAACGCCTCCTCCACTTGCCTGACGTCGCGCCCCAACATACATCACTACAAACATTCGTACTTCTCCTCAACCAGTCTGCTCTCACCTTCCACAGTGCACACATCTCTCTCCACCCAACCAGCTTACACCTAACCAACAATATTCGTTTACCTTACACAACCACGAAATCTGCTGACTTCTCCAACACGGGCTACATGCCTCGCTATACACACGGGGGCTACACCTACCCCGACCCTGTGCCCCAAAGTGTATTAGGACGTCGTATCCCTTCCCCTAGTCTCCTCGCCCCTCCCGCCCCCTCCGGTACTTGGGTCCAAGAGTGGAATTCACGTCTCAACCAACTCGTTCCCGTGCTTCTTCCACCACCTTCGCCCCCACCAGTATACCATCTTGACGACGAAGAAGTGCTCCAACCAGTCCCACCCCCCACAAACCACACCATCTCTCCCCCAGTTTACTACATTTCCGACAGTTCAGTGTCTTCGCATCGTGATTCCTCTCTTGATAGTGATTCTACATACTTTTCTTCGGCCCCAGCATCTCCCACTCCGTCAGACGAGGACATCTCCTTTATTGGAGCTTTTCATCGCGCCTCACCCCCAACCGTTGACATTACCACCCCACCTTTTTCTCCCCTAGGGAACCTCGAATTTAGTGACATTTCTTCTTCATCTCTTAGTGACTCAGTGTTGGCCACCTCCACAAGTGCTTCGTTTAGTACAGACTCATCTAGCAATTCGTCCCACTCGAACTCGTCCAACGAAATCACCTTCCTTGGCTACTTCGCACGAAGTACCCCAACCGGTAACAACACTCCGAACACTTCCTGTCCGCTCCCTTGCCTCCTCCCAGGAGACAGTGAATGTAGTGCGGTGCTCCAGTCCCACGCTCAGCCGTATGGAGACGAATTCCAAATTCCGGTAATCCGATTTTATTCTTCCCTACTTCTTGCAGGCCCAACAAACGGATGCAGCTACCCCCTCACTTAGACTCACCTTCCCCCAAACTCTAATGCCTCAATACCGCCCTCACCGTCCGGTAGAGGCAAACGCTCGTCGCCTTTACAAGGCCTTAACCACCCGAATTTGAGGCGCGGACAGTGTTCAACGCCGCCCTCGTCGCCCCCAATGAAGACTTCTTCGACACGTTCCGCCACCATCCATCCTTCTCCTCCCTGTATAAGGACATGAGAGATATTGAACTCCGCCAATGTAAACCAACTTACCCTTCGTCCCCTCCACCAAGCCCTGGGGTCGCTCCTTCATCCCCACAATACACACCCCCTCTATCCTGGACTCCAAGCCCGCCACCCAACTCCCCTAGAACCCCATCTCCCTCTCCCTTTGACCCCCGGCAATTAAGACGTCGACAACCTCCACCCTCTAACGGTGGAGCAAGTTCTGACACCACCGGCAGCCCCGACCCTGCCAATCCCACATTTCCACCTACCTCATCCACCGGGGAGCCCACCCCTCCGTCCAATAACCCCAACAACACAGTGCCTCCGCCCACCTCTTTTGACCTGCAATACTCTCGACGCCTATTTCACGATGTCACTCCCTTACGGGATCCCCCGGCAGACACCCCTCATACTCCTGACCAAGCTCAAGATCCAAGAAACAACCAAGTTCAGGATCCAGGAAACACCCCACCCGCTCTTCCCAACCCCCTCGGACTTCCGCCAACGACCTTTCAACATCTTCAACCCTACCAGGGGATCAAGTGGAAAAACTCCCCTTGACACCCAACCTTCCCTACGCCCCGTCTTCCCATCCTCCGCCGGCCTCAACATTTCCCAACCTCCCATTTGCATACCCCTTCACCCCTCCTTTTCCACTTCCTCTTCCACCTTTCCCTTATCACCCGTACCTACCTCCCTGGTTCGTCCACCCACCAGGCGGGCCCCAGCCCACCTGGCGGCTTCCTCCGCTCCACCCTATAAGACCCCGCCGACGGGCTCGACAGCAAAAATCCCTCCCAGTTCTACGCGACCCCGGTTTTCATCGGATCACATCCAACCAACACCCCCACCCATATCTTCCCCAAATTAACCCCCCCCGCTAAGGTGTGCGGGGGTGGGAATCACAAGATTGCTCCCAAACCTACACTTTTCCTCCTTTTATTTTCCTCATCTTTATTCAGGCTGTCCCTGATCATAAACTAAGTCCTCCACGTGACTCCAGGGTGTTCGATGGGGTTGGTATTCAAATTTTTTAAAACAATTCGAGGGTAGATTTGCGGAAGGGGCGGTCGTGGAGGTGATAACTGAAATTTGAGTCCATCTCCCAGGCTTTCCCCACGACTTGTTGTCCTCAAGTCTTGTCGCAGCTGCTTACCTCAGAATTCCAATATATGAGCCACAACATGTATCAGTCCCTTCAATCAATCAATTAATCAAGCAATCGGTGACATATTGTGTCCAGCTCCCCCACGACTTCCAAACACAGATGAAATGTTCCACCCCGCCCTCGTTCTTATTTCATAAGACCAGGCTCTCGTCGACTTGCACGGACCGTTCCGAAAAGTTCGCCCATTTCCTCGCACTAGTTCACGCAGGACAACGTGATGAAACGCTATACCGTATCCCTCCGTCCTTGAATTATGGACCCCTTCTCCAGGCTCTCGCCGAGTTTGTATAGCTCCAACCTTTCTTCATCTCATCGGCAAACTACACTGAAAAGGTTCGCCAATCCTTAATTTTCGAAGACCCGATCGAGAACACATATCTTCGCTTCTATTCCCGGACCATGGAACCCCACTTTTCCAAGCCAACCCATTCACCTTTCTTGTCGCAGCAATTTCGTCCGTACAATCAAATCCTTATGCTCACAGACACGGAGGAAATGCAACTCGCCACAGAACTTCTCCGGCTTCTTAGTGCTGGTCTTCACTTCACCCGGGAACACATCCTCGCAATGTGCGGAACATTTACGTCCAATCTTTCACCTCCACGCCCATTCAATTTCGCCGACTCTACAGCTGTGGATCCAAAATGGTATAACGAATTCACAGCCAGACACCCGGCATTATTCTCCCACCCCAGTATCCTCACTTATTATGGCGCTTACGGATTCTGCACACGACACAATGAAAAACTAACGATTTTTCCCCCTTCAACACTCCTACCGGCCCCAGCAAATCGCCATTTACTACCTCCACGCCCTCACAAAAGGGGCCTCCTGTCATACTCGTACCAACTTTGTTCATCTTCTCACCCCCCACGCTATCTCCCGCGTCTTAAACCACTCCACACCACGTATCATGACCAAGCCGATCCACCCATCCAATCGGTGGAAACCTCTCGCATCCAACCACTCTACCCGAACACACCCGCCGTCGACTCCAAACCATCTCCAGTACTCCCATCCACTTCCTCCAGTCCTGTGCCACCTACCAGCCAACCGGAACCCCCCAAACTTCTCCGCCATGCTCTTCTCCCCTGCAATATCAGTCAGCCGATCCGCCTCAACCATGCAAGCACTTATAGACTCTTCGCGTCGTTCATCGTCATATGTCGCCACGCCGTCATATGCCGCTCACATTGGCTTGCAACAAGGACACAAACAACAATACAAAATGAACAGAACAACCTCGAATTTTTTTTTCGATCACATTTTATTCCCTCCACACATTTCCCCACACAATACAAAAACCAACCACAAAGAAATGAAAATTATATCCAATATTCCACCCAGAATTCCTATTCCCTACCTCTGGGATTTCCCCAACAGCCCATCAAATGGCACATTCCATATGCACATTGATAGTCTCCATGACAATTCCGCTGATGATGTCTCAACCTCTCCATCGAACGAAATCTGTGTCCACAGGGACCCGTGGCTGGATGTTCACTCCCCTAGAACACAAATACAACACGTAGCTCACACTCAATCTTCACTCAACTACCCACTCATTTTCTGACAGCTACACAATATTAACTCTCCGGTTACCTGGTACGGAATTATCCTCCTACGTCGTCTTCTCTGTACTACGGACCGCACTGGAACAACGGGCACACACTCCAAAACCTCATCTGACGAATTTTCAGTCGCCTCATCGGACGACCCCTATAAATTCACAAACCATCATGATCTTCAAATTTGGTATCATTACCTTCACCTCGACTCTCAACACGCCCTCCTCCATCCACATTTTTTTTTGAAAACAAAAAAACAAAAAAGAGACACTAATTTTCTTACCGCCATATACTCCCGCGGTCGACTTGGACCCGCCGCTTCCTGCGCCCGGCTCGGCACAACCGCTCGTACACCCATGTCCACGCTCACCTTCTAGACCACAAAAACAACCATTTTGCAAACGTCACATCTCCATTCACCCACCATATCCTCAGGACTTGCTCTCTCTCATTCTCCCACTTCTCACCATTGACATCCTCGCGCGTGCGACAGCCTGAGGTACTACTCTGACCTTCGTCCTGATCGGTCCTACCACACCCCCGGCTGCCCGCGATACAGGGGCATAACCTGCCCCCGACCCCGTTCGCCTCGTCGTCTCTGCGGTGAGGTCCCCCTGCAAACCATATGCCCCTTACATGTCACATCATTCCAACTGTTATCACACCGTGCCAAGCAAATAAGGATGCGTACCACAGCTGGATCACACCCTGTCTCCAAGTCTTCCTCCTCCGTAGTAGAATCCCGCTCCGAATCCACTTCCATCGAACCCCCCTCCCCAATCCCAACGGCCGTGGCGTCATCATCTATCACCACGGATGAACGAACCAAACAATAACTACAATTTCACAACTTCTCCACAAATACCCAATCTCGCCTTAACTGACGTCAAATCAATGACCTCGCTGGCCGAGGCCACGCCGCCTCCAGCCGCCGCGTCACCATCTGGCCAACAAAATACAAATGAGCATCAACAACGTACTCCCACATACCCCTTCACCAATCCAAAATCACTACTCACCCTCTGACGTCAAATCCACAACCTCGACTTCTGGCTCCAGAACTCTACCCGGTACTCCCTCGGAACAAGGAAGGCGAGCAAGAACGACCCGACACTCCGGAAAATTGGAAGCATGCCCCAACACATACCCATGACCCACGTCTCTGCGATGAGGAAGTGGGCGTAGATTTCTACGCGCTTCTTCAGGGTTCACCTCCATCAAGGAATCAGGAGGCTGGTAGTCCTCGTCCTCGTCCTCATCGTCATCATCTGCCGAAGAGGTCCTTAGCACCTCCTCTCGCGCAAACTCCTCCAGGATCCCGTTCCACACGGTATTTGGAACCATCCTCGCCGTCACACTATTCAGTAAATCCGTCATGTACGGCATTCTCCCTACCAAGGGGGGGACGCCCGCCTAAACAACAGGAGCAAACTTCACATCAAATTCCCCCCTTCCTTCTTCCCGCCAGCCAACTTACCAGAATCGTTGCCCTATAGTCCATTATGAACTGTAGGGTCACCACGTCCACATATTGCGGCCCGAAAATCCACCCGTATGGATCCTCTCGAACCGCCCTCCTCAGCCGGACGCGAAACTGTAAACATATCAATAAATCCCACGACAACGACCAACAACTCCTAAGCTCTCTCACCCTCTCGGCTTCCTGTCCTCCCGTCGGTTTTGGAGGCCGATACCCCGATCCACCCATAGGCAGCGGCTTCATGTCAGACGTCCTGAGAGGAAGGATGACATCCCACCTTGGGTATCCTTGCAGCTGGACGACCCCGTGCGAAGCACCCTCATCTATGGGGCGACGCGTGGACAGAAACTCCAGTTTCGTCCACGAAGGGTCTGGTACCAATGGAGCGCAAGACACCCACACCGCCACCAGGGCCTCGGGCTCATTGATTCCCACCGCCCACTTTGGAACGACCAGATGTCCATAGTCCCCCCAGACCAAACGAAGAAGATAGTTGTCAGCCGATACCAACCTTGATTACAACCCAACCTCCATCATTCCAGGAACAAAATCCCGCCCTTCCAACAAAGACTGTCTTACCTCCAACCGGCTATCTCTTCTCGTCCTGGCACCCTTCCCAGCCTTTGTTCCGTAAAAAACGACGCCGCGGGAATACGGACCCTCACGCCCCGATAACTTCCCACGGTGGATTCCATCGTATTCACGGCCAGACGCCTCCCATCCTCCACCGGGTCAGAGTCACGCGCAAACTTCCCCAACTCGAATGAAAGTTTCGGAATCCATCGAGTTTGATAGATGCCCTCCCTATCCTGGCGAGCCGTCACCAGGAACCTCATATGAGGTCCTACCACAACCCTGTAAAAACAAACAAATGATTCCTCGTACATCCCCGCACCCACCTACTCCAACAGCTTTTTCTAAACCCCCCTCCCCGAACGAATAAAAAAAAAAAAAAAAAAAAAAAACCTCTCGGCTTACTCAAACTCCGGGTCCCTAGGCGACTGGCCCACCTTCATCTCCTCCGGTAGATACTCCCGGTAAAGATTCAAGTTATCCCGGGGTGGAAACAAGGCTATTTCTCCCGACCAACTAGGATGACGGAGGATGACCCCGCATCCATCCTTCAGACACAGCTCCCCGGGATTATGTTCCTCCGAGGGCCCATATTCCGAAATCCAGCACGCGAACCGGACACCACGAATCCTCTCAGTCAAGAAAAACCGCCGCCCCCTTCCCCACGACACACTACAAAACCATACAACCCTACTTAGGACTACCCCCCATAATTGGCTCTCGTAATAAAAGATACACGAGTACATAAATACATAAACACATCCAAAACGTA